ATGTTGAATTATAAAATATTTCTCAGCCATTTGAACTTAATCTTTTGAGAATTAAGTTTAATGGCCTCACTATTAAAATTCTATTAATTTTGAGATTATAATTTAATTATAGTACTTATTCTCCCTCCTCCTTCTAAACACTCCCATATGCCTTCCTCCCTGATCTCTTTCAATCCATGGCCTCTTTCACCACCAACTGTAATAGCATAAGTATATTTATATACTTATACATTAATGGCCCACTTCTTAATTGGATTATTTTGTTGTTATTGTTTGTTGTTTTTTGTTGTTTATTTGCTTTACTTTGTTTTATGTTGTTTTTAAGACAGGGTTTCTCTGTGTAGCACTGTCTATCCTGGAACTCACTTTGTAGACATGGCTGGCTTCAAACTTAGAGATCTGCCTGCCTCTGTTCCTGAGTGCTAGCATTAGAGGCATGAACTACCACCAGCCAGAAGGTTTGTTTTCTTTGGTGTTTAGTTTTAGGAGTGCTTTTTTATTCCACAAACTATCAGATGCATATCTGATAAAGACCTTTTTCCCAATCCAAATGCTGTCCCTTCAATTAAATGATGGAATCTTTTGTTATACAAACCCTTAATTTCATGAGGTCACATGTATTAATTGTGGAACATAATGCCTGTGAAATCATTGTCTTTTTCAGAAAGTCATTTCCCATGTCAATGAGTTCAAGTAGGTTTCCTGCTTTCTCCTCTATCATATTCAAGGCATCAGGTCTTAAGTTGCAGTCCTCAATCAATTTGCAATTGAATTTGTGCATGGTAAGAGGTAAAGATTTAATCTTATCCTTGTAAATGTAGCTGTGTGGTTTAATCAGCACCATTCATTGAAAAATTTTTACATTTTTTGTGAACAATATGATGATCATTTTTGTGTGGGTTTATGTGTGATTCCTCAACTCTATTCTGTCGGTCTATGTGTTGGGGGGGGGGTTAATTGGTTAATTAATTAGTGAATTTTTCCCCAACCTAATTACAGTTTCCCCTTCCTCCCACTTCTCTTCCGAATCCATCCAGGAAACCTCCCCTACCCACTATCCACTCCTCCTTTCTCTTCAGAAAAAGTTAAGGTCTCCCATGTATATCAGCCAGCCATGGCATAGCAAGTTGCAGTAAGACTAGACTCTTCCTCTCATTTTAATCCTTGAGCAGAAAACCCAGTAAGAAGAAAGGATCCTCAAAGCAGGTAACACTGTCAGAGCTTGCTTCCTCTGTTAGGAGTCCCCAAAAAAGACCAAGCTTTACAAATGTAGCATATGTGCATGTCACTCCCATGCAAGTTCTCTGATTGTTGGTTCAGTTTCTCTGAATCGCTATGAGCCCAGGTTAGTTGATCTATTCTGTGGTTTTTCGTTTGGGGTTCTTGGCCCTTCTACCACCTATAATCCTTCCAACCCCTCTTCAACACAGTTCCCAAAGGTCTGCCTAATGTTTGGCTGTGGGTCTCTCCATCTGTTTCCATCAACTGCTGAGTGAAGTTCTGGTGACAGTCTATGAGTATTTCAGAATATCATTAGGAATCACTTCAACAATTTTTTTTCTCTTTTGACAGACATTTCGGTTATCACAAACTGGGGGAGGCCAGATCACCAAAACTGCCCCAGGTTTGTGAATAGAAAACCTCAGAGTAGCTAGGATTAAGAAAAAATTCTCATATAGCTGAGGGCTAGACTTTTTCTATCTGAGGTTATTTAAAATAAATTTCTATCTCACTGGTAAAATAAGGAAATTCACAAGGATACACACATGCTTTCTTTTTCTTTTCTCAGACAGGTTTTCTCTGTGTAGCTTTGTGCCTTTCCTGGAACTCACTTGGTAGTCCAGGCTGGCCTCAAACTCACAGATATCTGCCTGGCTCTGCCTCCTGAGTGCTGAGATTAAAGGCATGCACTACCTCTGCCTGGCAAGATGATTTTCCCTTTTTTATTTATTTATTTTTATTTTTTTGAGACAGTGTTTCTCTGTGTAGCTTTGCACCTTTCTTGGAACTGACTTGGTAGCCCAGGCTGACCTCGAACTCACAGAGATCTGCTTGCCTCTGCCTCCTGAGTGCTGGGATTAAAGGCACAACCACCCTGACCCCACACATGCTTTCTGATAATAACTTTCTATTTACTTTAGCTTTAAAATGGTTTCTGACTCTTTCTGTCTCCACACAGCTACATATCTCACCACTACTGCATACAGCTACATATCTTTACATACATACATTTTTCACATGGCTACACATTTTTCTTGTTCCTCTCTCTCTCTCTCTCTCTCTCTCTCTCTCTTTTCTCAAGACAAAATTTCTCTGTGTAGCTTTGCACCTTTCCTGGATCTCGCTCTGTACAACAGGCTGTCTCTGCCTCCTGAGTGCTGGGATTAAAGGCGTGTGCCAAGACAGCCCAGCTCATATTTCTCTTTTACATACAGCTCCATTTTCCTTGCCTCCACATAGTTACAAATCTCCACACAGCCACAGCTAAACATCTTATTTACATAGCTCTGTCACCATACAGCATTTCACACAGTTCCTAGGCAAGGATCCTCTATAGAGCAGCCGCTCTTTCACACAGCTTTCTCTCTCACACCCACTAAACACCTTCTTTTACATTACTCACTCATGCTTTACTCACTCTTTCATACACTCACTCCTTCACACTTTTCTCATTATGACTCTTCTTCATCTCTTACTCACACACACACATACACTTCACTGACCTTCTCCAGCTGCTCTCTCATAGCTCTCCATAGCCCTTTCTCTCCACACCTCCACTGCTGCCCCAAGCCAAACTCTGGACAACCATAAGTTACCTTTTCAGGGCCTTACCTATTTTCAAAACACGAGCTAAGTCACGTAGTTTCTCTCAGGCTAGTAATGTCACATTGACTTATGCACGTAGCTCAAAGTTGGTGAGAGATCCCAGATAGTAAACAATTGGCTGAACCTTGAGCACAGTCAGAGTACGTGCAAAAAGAGAGCTACTGCAAGGGGCCAGATCTCAATGTAAACAGCCTGGCCTTGATTTAGCAATATACAACACCTGGGAATTAGTCTCTGTGTGATTTCTACAGGGGCCATTTTTTAGTCTATTTTGAATTTGTTCTGAAGTCCAACATTAGCTGTCTTTGAGACTGAGACTATCGTTACTTTCCTATGTCAGTAGAAGAATACTCTGGTATTATTCCTATACATTAGAATTATACACCTTAAACAGAAATCAACTTCCTGACCATCCACAACTATAAGTATGCCCAAAGAGGAGTGTATTCCCCAGATAAACACCCAAGCAGTTGGAAAACACCCATATCAGTTCTTAGGGAAGCAATGTAGTGGCACATGAGAGAAATTGCAGACAGAAAACAA